CAAAAACTTTTTTCAATCTCAAATGAGGAAATTGCTGATACATTTAACGAAATGCTGAAAAAGGAAAACCAACATATGGATGTCGTACATATTGCAACTATTCTTCCTAATGCATCACCAAAACGACTTAAGCGAATTGTGGAAAGTATACCAACTCCAACATCATAATCAAATTTTACTGAAGAGGAAGCAATAGCGCTTATGTTGGAACTGGGTCTCAGTCGAAATAAGTACCAAATATTAAGGAAAGCTCTGCATGAAAAAGGACACAATATATTACCATCATACAAGGCGATCCAGGAAAAAAAAAACAAACTATCCTACTAAATCAACAAAAAATAATGAAGAATTGAATGAACTGAGAGCTGCGGAAAAAAGCAGAATCCAAGAAGAATTTAAAGTTCAGATGGGATTAAACATCGACAAACCACTTTCAAGTTGCGGTAGTACAAATGACGGTAATACGGCGAGAAGGTTTTTTCGTGATTTTGAAATTACTTCAAAAATAACTGGAATCGACAAGGAGTTGCTTCGAAGAGTTAAAACTATTTTAATGGCACTGAATAGTAAACATAAAATTAATGAAAATCGATTTGGGGAATACACATCTGAAATTTCTAAATTACTTGTATCTCTGTATCATGGAGGGAACTAACACCAACAGTACACAAAGTATTGTGTCATGGTCAAATAATAATTGAATCGAATATTCTTCCACTTGGAGAGTTAACAGAAGAAGCCCAGGAAGCGAGGAATCGAGATTTTAAGCATGTTCAACTATTCAGCTCAAGAAAATGCTCCAGGCAATCACAGAATGAAGATATTTTTAATAGTTTACTTCTATCTTCTGATCCTGTTCTTTCAACTATGCGAAAAAGATGGATTTGTTATGAAACTCTATCACTCTATAACAAGGAAGATTTAAAGGACTTATATTACCTTCTGGATATGTATACCGATATGACAGATTATTTTATAGAAAATAAGTAGTGTTAGGAATTAACTATATAAGTAGGTTGTAAGAATTAATTGTATTATGTTTAAGATAAACAGTTCAAATAAAAAAGCTATTATACTAACTGATGATATTGTATTAAATTGTGTTTTATATTTCGGTGGGCGGGAAAGGTAATTTGTGTGGGGTGATTTAGGTGTTGTTGTGCGTGGCTCATAATAAAATTATAATTTTTTTTATTTTATATACAATATTATAATAAAATAATTAACTAAATAATTTTTAAAAATTGTCCAAATATTTTATTCAACACCAAATGTATGTTCTGTCATACTTAATACTAAAATATGAAAAAGATGAAATTAAAGGACACAGGTTTAAATGAACATATTTTTGAATGTAATTGAGATATTGGCTTGAAATTTTTTGTAAAGGGTCGAGAATTTCCATATCTAACTAAAAAATGATATTAAGCGATAAATATGGACTAAATTGTTGTAGCTATCTGCGATCCTATTAAAATTTTGATATAAATCATAGTTTTAGAAATTAAACAAATATGTAATATATGACAAAATCTTTATTTATGAACAAAACTCAATGAAATTTTCAACGCTTGTTAAATTTGTCATTTCAAATAAGAATATGCAAAAAAAAATTGAAAAGGTCAAAGGGCATCCCGCAATTCCCAAAAATAGGAATGAAAATCCCAAAAATGGGATTTTTTACTTTATTGCCCATAGGGTCCACATTTCTTTCAGGGCTGGGAAAATACTTTTGGAGTAAATAGAAAACATATTGAGGTTTCCAAAACTGCTTTCAGTTTTCTGATCCCAGCTTTGGGATTTTAGAACATGTCGCCCAAAGTTGAAGTTTTGATAAAAAATAGGTCATATTCGGAAGGACGCAGTGGCAACATTTTTAAAAAAATAGGACAAGTTTTTTACGCCAAAGCGTTCTGCGTAAAGGTACCTTTTAGAAAACTATAAAATTGTTATATGTTCTTAATAAAAATTTTATTTTATTAATAAAAGAGTTAAGACACATTTTTGGCAAAAAAACGCCAAAAATCTAAAATTTTTTGAATTTTTAAATTAAAAAACGTATATTTTTGGATCTGTAAACGATATTGATCTGAAATTTTTTGTATATTATTGGAAATTTTGTTGTCTAACTAACAAGAAAAAATTGAGTCCATTTGGTCCAAAATTACGCCCGGTATTCAAAAAAAGGCGGACCAAGGTATGGTAAATTTTGTATCACTAAATTTTTAAATGCCTATAACTCGGATATTATAAGAGATAAGTAGTATGCATGTTTTTTCAAGATCTCATCGAGCGCTTTCACAAAATATAAAAATCTTTGTATTTGGGTGAAAAACAAAAAAATGGCACGAGTTTAAAAATTTTACATGTCGTAGGTACCCTACTTTGAGCCGCCACAGCGCCGTCCCTGGGGCATCTGCAGGGTTCATCTTCAAAATTTAAACTCGAATACTCTTTGGCTACGCTCACGCCAAATTTTATCCCGATCGGATCAGCCGTTTAGAAATGCCAGATTTATTTCCAAAAAATTTCCATTCTGCCCCACTGTGCAACGTTTAAGTAGCATGGAGAGATATGAGTGAATTTCATCAGCAAACATATTTTTTATTTAACTTTTGCATCGTTGTACAAGTTTGGAGATGATTTTTAAAAGTATTTTATATAGGACGCGTACTATTTATTAATTGATTAGAAACCCATGTATAGTCATGAGAAAAACGCAATACGTTAGAAATTGACGACGTTATTGATATTTTTCTTAATACAAAATTTTTCCAAAACTGATTTTTTGGGGTGATCTTTCATTATTACTATTTATTAATATTTTATAAAAAATCAGAAGATTATCGCGCGATATTTTATAAATAAAATACTACAAATATTATTACATAAAATATTTTTTTATTAAATCGCGCGATTTTATAAAAAATAATTTATGTAATAATATTTGTTGTATTTTCATAAAATGTTCAAAATTAACAAACATTTTATGAAAATACAACAAAAATTATTAAATATGAAATTTTATAAATATATTAGCATATATTTGAGGTGGGGTGTCATAATGTCCATTGACGTTATGACACACCAAAAAGTTTCATAGTGTCCATGGACGTTATGACAATTTTTAAAAGTGTTATAATGTCCATTGACATTGTATCACTTTTAAAACAGAACTGTATTTGAAAATTTGTAAAGAATTTAAGAAAGGGACACTCTTACCCCCAAAGGAATTTATCCTAAATTTGGTGTATGTTGCATTTTGGTTTCCATTTAAAAAGTGTTCTGGATAGCCGGCCTTCGGCCGGGCACAGGGATTTTAAACTCTGGGGTATTTCGAATACCGGCTTCGCTAAATTAAGCCTTCTTTTGATAAATGGACTCTTTGAAATCCATGGTCTTTATGTTACATTGCTCATATGCATTGTGACACTTTTGAAATTGTTATAGCGTCCATGGACACTAGACTCAATTTAGTGAGTCATAACGCCCATAGAAAATATGACACTGGACTTTATGACTTTATGAATTAAAATTAAATGGGGTGAAATTTCATTTACGTTTTTGGGGTAATTGTTCATTACGAAAAATTAACCCAATATTTGGGGCCACTTTTCATTTCAACCTTGGGGAGATTTTTCATTAATTTTGGGGTGATTTTTCCTAAAAAATGTTAGGGTTATACTTCATAATGAATTTTGACCCCAACATTGGGGCAATTTTTTGTTTTATATTTTGGGGCCATTTTACCTGGGGCCATAATTCGCAGCGCAGGTCTTCAAAGCCTAAAACAATTCAGTTTAATTGCTTTATAAAGATTCCCTTAATAGCCGGCCTGCGGCCGAGCGCAAGGCTTTTTTACTCTATGGTATGTCCAACAACGGCTTCGATTAATAAATATTTCCTAAATAGCCTACGTCCGGACGCAAGGATTTACCACTCTATAATATTACCAACACCGGCTTCGCTTAGTAAAGATTTCCTAAATAGCCGGCCTAAAGCCGAACACTCTTGATACAGGGAGAGTGCATTCTTAGCGAAGACGGTGTCCAATGTACCCCAGGGGATAAAACCCTTGCACCCGGCCGAAGGCCATCTATCTGACATATATTTTTTATTTCGTGTGACAAAAGTAATATAATGAAATAACGCCCCAAAAATATTTTTAGGGATTTATTTCATTTTTGAATTTTGAGGAATTATTTCATAATGAATAACTCCCCATTTTAAATGTGAAATAATGCCCCAAAAAACGAATTAAATCCCCAAATTTCGTTGTTTTTGCTTTCTGAACAAATTTTTAGGGAGTTATTTCATTTTTGTTTTGGGTGTTATTTCATGACGCCTTTATGAAAGTGTACATTAGTTGTAATCGAATTTAAATATTTGCATCCCAATTCTGATCAGTAATGTATTTTAAGCAGTTTTAAATTCTGTTAAATACATAAAATATCAATAAAATTTAAAATAAATATAAAACATTATATAAAACATTTTCAAAAATCGACAAAAATAGATGTGCACGTCACAACAAAAAATGTTTATATTTGCATAAAAAGATTCAGATAATAGACTTATGCACTTTTAAAACTTTTTAACAGGGAGAAAGATTTCAAAAATGCATTCAAAAAGTGCATTTCTTAAAAAAATTCACTATCTTAAACATTTTAATATAAAAATTATATTAAAATGAAAAATCACAGCCATAGTAATGGATTGCGTTTTAAATCAAAAGAAATCTGATATAAACTCTCAAAGATATAAACCTTCAAAATTGTATACCTTTATGATTTTTTGTAATTTTTAAAATCGTTTTATATTTTCGTTTTTCAATAAAAAATAGGTTTTTTTTGTTCAGGTCAAAAATATCAATTTTTATTTCTCTCATTTAATAATAATCATTTAGGATCCCTGGTTTCGAATAAATTGAAAAATAATATAGTTCTTAATATACCTTCAAGTGGAGAATACGAATAATTAATTTTTTTTTATTATTCTAGATGCAGAAAATATTCTTCATATTGCAAAACGAGAAATAAAAAAAGAACAAGAATATGTCTTGTCAAGATCATTTTCCTATAATGAAAGGGCAGCTGTCGAGGCAAGTGAATCCGAGGGAAGTGATGAAGATGCTGATATGAAAGGTACGATCTGTTCGAAAATGTAAATATTTTAGTTGCATTTCACGATGACATTACATACATATGTCATGTAAGTAGTATAATAATTTCATTATGCACGGTGCACAGTGGTATAGGAAATAATTCGGTAACTTCTAAACGGTTAATCCGATTTTAATGAAATTTGGTATGCACAAAGAGGTGTTGTCGAGTTTAGGTTTTGAATTTGGACCTTATAGGCCAACCAGGGGCCCGGCGGGGGGTCCTCAAATTAGGACACCTCGGCTATGTTAAATTTTTAAAACGATCCTATTTCTTCATTTGAGTTCCGATTTAAAAAAAATTTCGTATATAGAATCTCCTCATCGAGCACTATAAAAAATGTCGTAAAGCAGTAAATTATCTCTTATAGTTTAGATATTCGCATTTGAAAATTAAAATTTTAAAATTTTTACCGTCTTTACTTTAGTTTTTTGATAATAGCGGGTCCAAATATTCCCGACTTTCGCCATTTTTTTTATTCGCTTAATAACAAGTTTATATATCAAGCAGTGAAAGAATTATGTAAAAATCATGACTGAGTCCAAAGTTATAGGCATTTTAATTTAAAAAATTAAAAAAAGGCGATTTTTTGCCATTTTTTTTTGGGAAAAAAGTATCTTTTTCTTTTTAAGTTATCTAAAAAGTTTCTAAGAAGATGTATATAGAATTTATACTTTTTGGAAAGCTGACTTTACATAAAATACGATAAATGAAGCATGGAAAGGTAATTTTGTCTATTTTTCAAAACTGTATATAATTTTTGAAAATTAAAAAATTCGCGGAATACTTTTTTTAAAAAAAATTAAAAAATGTTTTTTATTCAGTTTTTGCGAAGATACAAATTTTTCAAATTGCAATAAAAATTTTATATGAAATTTTTGATGAAATTTTACAGTTAGGTAGATTTTTTTACTCAAAATCCAAAATTAAATAAAAATTTCGAATTTTCTTATTAGAAATCCCGGAATTCCCAAAAAGTTTTAAAAAATCCCAAAAATGGGATTTTTTGGTTTTTTGCCTATTACATCCACACCAGGGGCGGGGTTATCGAAACCCGTTACAAAATGATTAAGAACATATTGGGTCATATAAAACAGGTCACTATAATTTGATATCGACTATGCGATTTGAGAATTTTTGCTCAAAATTGAATTTTCCATAAAAAATAGGGTTTTTTTGGATGGACCTGGTCCCCTCGGTATCAAAAATTTTTAGGTTTTGTTTCATTTATGGTATTTTATGTAAAGGCAGCTTTCCAAAAAGTATAAATTCTATATAAATCTTCTTAGAAACTTTTTAGATAACTTAAAAAGAAAAAGATACTTTTTTCGCAAAAAAATTGGAAAAAATCGCCTTTTTTTAATTTTTTAAATTAAAATGCCTATAACTTTGGACTCAGTCATGATTTTTACATAATTCTTTCACTGCTTGATATATAAACTTGTTGTTAAGCGAATAAAAAAATCGGACCCGCTATTATCAAAAAACTAAAGTAAGGACGGTAAAAATTTTAAAATTTTAATTTTCAAATGCGAATGTCTCCTAAACTATAAGAGATAATTTACTGCGACATTTTTTATAGTGCTCGATGAGGAGATTCTATATACGAATTTTTTTTTAAATCGGAACTCAAATGAAGAAATAGGATCGTTTTAAAAATTTAACATAGCCGAGGTGTCCTAATTTGAGGACCCCTGGTTGGCCTATAAGGTCCAAATTCAAAACCTAAACTCGACAACACCTCCTCTTTGTGCATACCAAATTTCATTAACCGGATTAACCGTTTAGAAGTTACCGAATTATTTCCCTCTTTTTTTTTCCTATACCACTGTGCGGTGATATGGGGTTTGAGGTTGTCTCGGATTTTATGGACCGATTTTAAATAGCGATCTTCTTGAAAGCATGTCTAACAGAATTATTTAAGATTCGGATGTCGCCGATATCTGGGGTCCTCTAAAAACTGAATTCAACAAACACACAGACGGACAGCCAGACAGACGGACGCTTAATCAACTCCGCTACCTATAAGGATCCAGAATATATATACTTTATGGGGTCGGAAAATTATATTATACAAATTACAAACGGAATGACAAACTTATATATACCCTTCTCACGAAGGTGAAGGGTATAAAAAATAAATCTGAAATATTTTAAATCAAGGCTTAATCATAGAATATTGCCGTAGAAGGCCAACTCTCCCGGAAAAAAACCTAACTCAGATGTCAAAAAACCTAACTCTATGTATGTGTTGGTAAATTGCTGTTTACTTTTTTTATTAGTATAAAATGAAAATCCACCCATAGCATTTTGTACGCATAGTTCTACAAAAATGTAGTGTTGGAAATAGTATGTTTTTTTAAGTTATATATATTTCTTTAATCTGGTTAACATTATATTTCATCAATTTCAAATATTTAGGACTTTTTTTAAATGTCCTTTGCTATTTTTCGATTTTTTTCTCTAATTGTTAAAATTTGTTAAATGGTACTAAATTTTTTCCCCTAATATGTAGATAAAATACAACCCTAAGAATACATTATAAAACACACACCACTGCAAATAAATTCACCAACTAACGTCAATAAATTATTCGTTATAAAAAAATTATTTGAAAATTTTTAAATATTAACAAATAAAAGAAACAATTGACCAATTATATAAAATTGTCACCATTTTAATTTAATTCAGCATATAAGATAATAAATTAGTATATCGTGGAAACAACTTCAAATGGGATCAATCTATAAATATTGTATTGACTCATGTTTATCATTGAAATTATGTCACCATTCTGTCCAAATTTTATAAAGAAAATTTATAACTGTTTTCCAATTGAATTACTTAAGAATATACATTTTATTCAATAGCGAATAATTTAAACTTAATTCTTAAAATTATTAACAAAATACAGTCCAAAGAATATTATTTTTATGTATTAAAAAAAGAACATATTAATTTTGTATTCATCTCCATAAAATTTAAATAAAAGCTGGACAACCAAGCAACTAAGCTACTTCCATGTGGTATCCATCTTTTGAATGTAATAATCTCTTCTTAAGCGCAATATGTCTCTATTGTACCTGGTTCTTTATATTTGACATAATTTCACATTTAAAGAATTAAGAAATTCTAACAAAGCTGGTGCATAAAGGAACCTGACATCGTTTTCACTTAGAAGATTTAACAAAATTTCAAAAAAGTATTGGTGCATTATCCGAATTGCCCAATATGCTGCTGCAGATAGATCTCCAATTAATACCACAGCTTTTACTTTGATTTTAAGTTTACATTCATGGTTAAATACGGACATTAAGGCTTGTGTGTCCGATGTAGAGAGTGAACCGAAGGAAATTTACGCAGCTAAGGGCATATAGGGAGGTGACATTCTATGTCTATTTCTATGACATAAATGTTAAAAAAAAAATAATAAAAAATTCATACCATTTAGGAACTTTAAATATTATTAACTTTTGTCAATATAAGCAGTTCATAATATTTATGCTGAAACTTTTTTCTGTGAACAATCAATATAATAATGTTTAAAGCTTTATTGACAATTGAAATTTTGACGATTAAAAATAACCTGATTTAGAATATGTGGTTAGTGTATTTCTATATTTTGCTGAAAAAAATATGGTCACCGTTATATGAGGGTAGGTCTGATCCTCATAAAATTTAGTTGGGAGATTTATGTTCACCTGATCGCTATACTGGTATTTTTAAGACAGTTATGGTCGTTAAAGTCATTTTCTGTGTGGGACCTTCTATGGGAAGTAGGGTCAAATATACGTCAAAGATTGTCATAATTTACAGAATAGTTTTTGGGGACAATTCTAATTATGCAAAATTCCATGACACTTACTGCAGCAGTAATAATGCCCAATGTATGGGGGCTATGTGAAAACGTGGACCGATATTGCCCATTTTCAATATCAAACATTTCTGAATAATGTATAATATTTTGAAAAAAATTAATCTTCCTAGGTCCATTCTTCTAGTCTCTGTCGTGCCTTCAGCAGACAGACAGACAGACAGACAGACGAAAAGATAGACGGATACATAATAAAACAATAATAAGGTAGAAACAGTAGAAAAGTATGTACGTTCTAAATTTTACATGCCTTGAATTGTCACAAAAAAGAAAATTAAAAAATATAAAAAAAAAACATAAAAAAATATTGAACATTTTTTTGGGAAGAAAATAAAATTCAATAATTTGAATAAAAAAGATCGCAAAACCAATAAAAATCAAAAACAGGCTACAGAAGTGTGGAATGCTGTTTGCGTTTGCCGTTTAAGAATCATTTCATGGTTTTTCATTTGATGATTTTGAAGTTTTTCTCTTTTTAGTTCTTTTTGGTTTGACTTAACAAGGCAGAGAATTGACAACTCTCCCTACTGATTCTACCTTTCTATGGTTGTATCATGGACGGATTTATTTAAATCGTCTTAGAATTTTGCAAGGATCCAGATTATAAATATACATATACTTTATGGGGTCTACGAGCAATGAGTTTCAAATGGAATGACAAAATCAATATAGCACCCATCGTTTTTCATGGTAGGTATATAAAAGTGTACAAAAAGCTTCGGTAAAAATTATCCTAGTATAGTATGATTTTCAAATTATTTAATAGTTTTTCCTCTAAAAAATTTTGATTTAACGGTCAAACCCCATATCACCGCACAGTGGTATAGGAAAAAAAAAAAGAGGGAAATAATTCGGTAACTTCTAAACGGTTAATCCGGTTAATGAAATTTGGTATGCACAAAGAGGAGGTGTTGTCGAGTTTAGGTTTTGAATTTGGACCTTATAGGCCAACCAGGGGTCCTCAAATTAGGACACCTCGGCTATGTTAAATTTTTAAAACGATCCTATTTCTTCATTTGAGTTCCGATTTAAAAAAAATTTCGTATATAGAATCTCCTCATCGAGCACTATAAAAAATGTCGCAGTAAATTATCTCTTATAGTTTAGG